CCCTCTTCCTGGATGAAAGCTGCGCTGACCGCATACTAGGAGACATATAGGTAGATAAATAAGATCTCCTTGGGAAAAGGCTTGGATAGAAGAGGCAGCTTTCTGAGATGTTCTTTTATGCTTTGGAAGACTCACTCACATTTCGGAGTCTATTCAAACTTCTTATTGGCCCTGAGTATATTAAAGAACGGCAAGTAACGATCTGTTACTCTCGATATGAAGTGATTGAGAGCCGTTATCTTCCTATTCAAACTCTGAACTTGCTTTTGATTTACGGGACTTGTCATATCTAGGAAAGCTCGGATCTTTTCGGGGTTGATCTCAATCCCCCAGTGGTTAACCATATACCCTAGGAATTTCCCTAAGGATACTCCGAATGAACACTTGAGAGGATTAAGCTTCATTCTATACCTTTGGAGTACATCAAACCTCTCAACAAGATGTGTTATGTGATCTAAAGCGTCATATGACTTAACCAGCATATCATAGACATAAACTTCCATTGATTTCCCGATCTGCTCAAAAAACATACGGTTAACCAAATGCTGATAGGTTGCCCCAGCGTTCTTTAGACCAAAGGGCATAACCTTATAACAGTACAGTCCCTGATTTATGATAAACGAGGTATGCTCCTCGTCGGACTCATACATCAGGATCTGATTATACCCCGAGTAGGTATCCATGAAGTTTAACAGCTCGTGTCCAGAGGTGGTGTCGACGAGCTGATCAATCATAGGAAGAGGAAAACTGCCCTGCGGACAGGATTTGTTGAGGTAAGAGAAATCAACGCAAGTTTGCCATTTGCCATTGGGTTTCTTCACCAAAACTGGATTAACGACCCAACTCGGGTAATGAGCCTCTCGGATGAACCCGTTTGAGAGGAGCTTATCCACCTCAACTTTAAAGCCAGCATAACGCTCCGGGTCTATGGCTTTTCTCTTCTAGCGAATCGGCTTGACTGTGCTATCGATGTTGAGTGCATAACATATTATATTCGGGATGATCCCGACCATATCAGCATGAGTCCATACAAAAACATCGATATTTTTTCTGAGAAAGCTCGTAAAATATGTAGCGAGCTGCAGGCTGAGATTACTCTCGATTCTCAACACTCGCGTCGACTCATTCTGGTCGACAGTTACCTCCGACAGAGATTCAACAAGCCCCACTATGGGAATATTTCTCCTGAACACGAGAATCTATGCAATCTTCTAGTAGACCCAACTATGGCTCGATCCTACTGATTGTCATTGCCTACTCGGGAATACCCACCGGCTTCTCTTTCCCTTTGCACGCCATCTGCATTGCCCTTACATAGTAGTCACGAGATTCGCTCTAAGACCTTTTCATTTTCCCACACCCTGTTGGAGTGGAAAACTTCATCTTCAAATGATAAATAGAGGTGACAGCCTTGAAACTTCATAGTAGAGGTCATCCTAAAATGCCATTAAAAGCAGACGGACGGCCTACCACTAAGAATTTCGTCATCTTGGTCACTTCATTGGTCTCACCCAATGTGATGGGAAGTGTGATTATTCCCTTGGGAATCAGATGATCCCCAGTAAAACCATAGAGAGGGAAAGAGGTAGGCTTCAGATCTGCCTTGTCCAACTGCATCTCCTCAAAAGCTTACTGAAATAGGATGTTCACAGTGTTGCCATTGTCCACCAACACCTTGTGGACTTCGCACTGACCTATTTCAGGCACGATGACAAGTGTATCCTCATAGGGATGATGCAATCGCACTGCATCTTTCTCTGAGAAGATAATCTCTTTTTCTTTATGAACCTTAGTGGGTCGCGACGCCGTGCTCATCACACTCACGGGGTCATGGCGAGCTTCCCGATCGTACCTTTCCTGGGCACCTTGAGAATTTTTCGCGAGGTGCGGTCTTCCAAAGATAATCCCTATGAAGTAGAGACCTTTACGACCACGGCGTTTCTTCCCTTGTTCCTCTTGATCCTTCTCCCGAACGGGAGTTGAACCATCAACATACTCCTTAAAATGTTCCTGCTTGATAAGGTCTTCAATTGCTTGCTTGAGAGCCCGACACTCATCGGTGTGATGCCCATTATCCCAATAATAACGACAATATTTCTTGTTGTTTCTTGCCGAAGGGGGATTGTTCATGGGTGCCGGCTCTCCAAGCAGGCTGGCCTCTTCTGACTTGTCCAAAATAATCGATACAGACGCGTTCAGAGGAGTATACTGATTCTTGTCGTAATCGCGATAAGGAACCTGGGCATAGGATTTCTTGGGCTCAAACCGCTGCTTCTTTCCCTTTCGCTGATTGTCATTAGCCCACCTGCGATCAATTCTTCTACTACTCTCCCCTTGGTTAGGAGCACTGGTCAAAGGATCGGGGTCATGGTAATTGAGAGTGGCCACGAAATTTTCTATTCGGAGGTATTTCTCCTTAAGGTTGTAGAAGCGGATGAGGCAAACGTCATCCTCGGATTGTAGCATCTTCCACAGGTCGGTCTGCGGGTGAACTCCCACAATAATGAGAGTCCGAACAGATTCTTCAAGTGTGTTAGCCACCTTGTGCAACTCCCTGTGGAACCTGTCAATGTAGGAGTGAAGGGATTCATTCTTTTCCTGCCGTATGTTGCTCAGATAGCTCAACGACATTGAGAACTTCTTATTTACCTGGAAGTGTCTTAAGAATAACTAGCTCATCTGCTGCCACGAGTTAATAGAGCCTGGTAGAAGCGATCTAAACTAGCACTTGGCATGGGCAGTCAAAGTCATTGCCAAACAGCGACATTTGGCCAAGTTAGAAACTTGGTGAAGTAAAGTCGTTAAACTCGTAGAGGTGATCCTACAGATCGAAATTCCTATCGAATGCTCGCATATCGGGCATTCTAAACCTCAACGAGAGAGGAGCAACTAACACTGCCAAAGAAAAGGGAGACGCCTCGGCGACCTACCTACACTCATTTTACTGAGCTCTAAATAAAACCAGAGCTCACTGTAACTCCTCAATCTGAGGCAGTGCAGGTACCAAGGGATCACTTTCTGTAACATGGGTTCGACCCTCACGATTACGGTTGAGGAAAGACTACAGATCGGACTCTTCCTCTCCTCAGCCGGAGGCTCTGGCAAATCTTGACATAGGCTGATTGGAGTTGTGTGAAGGCAATGAAAGGTTTGGGGAGTTAGCCCAACCTTCGTGGTGGTCATAATCGACCCGCAGTTGCTGGGAGTTTCCTTGCTTTGCACTCTTATAGGGGTGCCCATGCGATGTGGCGTGGGATGATTCATGATGCGACATGTCGCTAAGTCGCAAAGCCATAGGTATTCTACCTATTTTACAACCAGTATTTGATGGTCCCTTGGAGCCCTTCGGCCCATTATTTGCCACCTGCTTTCCTTTACCTTTACGCATTGTAATGCGCACGGCATAGGCCTTCACCAGTTTCTGCGCTTTAGCGCGACCTACACGCGTTTTTTGCGGTGGCACCACCTTGTCAGACTCGGGTGGTACGACCTGATCCAAACGGTCTAACATTTGGTTAACTATTTGGAGAGTATTATTGAACCTCTCCAGGTAATCCATCACAGCTGGGTCGAGCTGTGGGCTCGAAGGAATGTCCGCCACGGTAGTATGCTGAATCGGGGGCACTTCGGGAGAAGTGTCATCCTGTACCTAGGGGACCTCCTCGTTGCCGGGGCTAGCTCGCTTGGTTTTGAAACCATGGGCCATTTGCTAGCGAACAGACTCTATTGATCAAAGATTCCTGATGAAGAGCGGATACTAAATCAGGCATTCCTTCTAGTGCCAAACTGTTGATGCTCGATTTTGACACCAACTATTCGCACGTGCAAATCGCTAAGCGGACTTAGGAATTACACGTGAACTGAAAAACAAAATAAATAAAAAGGAGACAATTTTTAAAGTGGTTCGAATTCTCAAAGCGAATCCTACATCCACTGTCTTTTTATTTATGAAAGATTACAATCAGGTCGCATGTAGCGATCAAAGAAAACATAAATATAGAAAGGAAGAGAGAGAGTGTTTATATTATCAGAATTAGAATCTCAAAAAATGAGAGAGGAGCTCTCTATTTATAGTAAGAGGTTTCTAGGTAATGATTACGGGTCTGTCAGTGGGCAGATGCCGTACAATTCCTACCCTGCTTCCCATTGGCCAGTTGCACGGAAGATATCCTTAAATCGCGCAGGGCTTGGGCAGGTGGATGACTCCCGGCCACTCACTCGCCAAGCCTTTACTTGTCAAGCTGATGACAACCTTACTTCTTCTGTCTTTGGACGACGTGGCAGCGCCTGGACGGCACAATGTCTTCCTGAGCTCCAACTGGTCCTCATTGACGTAAGCCCTGATTTTTTAAGCATAACAGTATATAAAATCTTGTATAAAAATGGCGTGACACAAAATGAATGAATTCATTAATTAATATAAAAATTCAACTTAATAAATGCATAACATAAGGATGTTGAATGACAAGAAAGGACAAAGGAACTATTCCTTTATATACCAACTTTTCTTAAAACAATGGTCAATGTACTTATATAAATCATAGATATGGCTAAATTAATATAAAGAGTAAACTAAATAAATCCATAATAATTAAGGTTGAATGACATGATGTACAAGAGTAATAACGAAACATTTGTATATAAGATTTTGTCTACCATTATATATATAACACGACTCTTTCCATAAACAATATATCATATTATTTCTGAAAACAATATACATCGATAAAGTTGAATGACGAGTTAGAGAATTTACGGTAATAACTCCAAACTAAAACGCTCCACCACCCGACAAGTGTCTAAACTCAATAATCAAAGAAGGAAGAATTAATAGTTGATGATTAATATTAAGTAGTGATTGATAAATAAGTTGGGTTGCAAGTTACAATAATAATAACAATAATAAGACCCACCAATTTTCTAGCACCGGAAAACAAGGACTTTCTACCCACTACCCTCAACCTTCTTCTTCTTCTTCTCCTCCCCCTGGCCCCCTTAAAAACCTTCCTTCTTCTTCTTCCTCTGAGTATTTCTCAAGTTATTTACACTTTTCATTCAATGAAGAAGATCAATCTGATCCTCAGAAAATGCAAGAGCTTGTCGCGGCAACTCGGCCGATCATCTTCCTACAGTAGCTTGAGGTCCAAATCCACCAGAGATCACGAACTATGGGGCCGCCATGACCATCATCATCAGCTTCAACAAGAGGAGAATTGCAAAACCATTTTTGTTGGCAGCACGAGGAAACGGTACGTGATTAGTTCTAAATACTTAAATCATCCGTTGTTGAATGCTTTGATGGAGAAATCGAAGCAAAAAAATGGAGAGTTGATTTTGGTTAAGTGTGAAGTTGTTCTCTTTGATCATCTTCTTTGGATGCTTGAGAATTCTGAACCGAATCTCATTCTCGATTCTTTGGAGGAACTCGCTTATCTTTATGCCCTTTGATTTTTATTTTTATTTTTTTGCATGAATTTCTTATGCATGTAAAAGCTGGCTATAAACTGCTGGCCATTTGATCGATCTAGTCAAGAAAGAATTCTTGATTATTTGTTACAATGTGATATTGATTCGTTATTACTATTATTATTATTATTATGGTGCACTGATGTGAGTAATGTGATCTTTTTTTTTTTTTTTCTTTTAGTATTGCACAATTTATATATCTTGTTCTGACGAATTGTTTTGTATCTGATCAAATAATTTTATGTGATTAATTTATGAGATTTTGATGTTTAATTTCACGAAGATAGTCTATGCATAATATCTATCACAGGGGTATTGTTATGTATAAATCCTTCAAGTTTCGATTAGTCGTGAGGCATTAATAACAATGGAAATGTTTTTATTTTCATTTTTATTTTTTTGGTTCTTGTTGGAGCTAATTAAATATGCACAATTAGAATTAGTTTGATGTCCCCTCAATATCCCAATTTCTTTAATTATGTAAATAAAGTTCAACCTTTTATTTTTGTCCGGAGAACGAGTTTTAGACATAGCATTACTCTTTATCTTTTGCATAATTAATGTACCTATATACTTATCCTTAAATTTCAAAGTTTATAATAGAGCTCTTATCCAGCTAATTAATAGTTTTAGGGTTCCGAAAGATTAATTAAGATACACATAATGACAGACCCATGATTTTTGCTGAGGGGGAGCCTCCATGGTTCCACCATTGTTTGTCAAACAACTAGTGAAAACTTTAAAAAAACCACCAAACCTTAAGCAAAGGAAATAATACAATATCAATAATCTGAAAGAAAATAATGCAATAACACAATACTTTACTACTTGAATAAATCGATGCGAAGCAAAACCTTGAGCAAATTATATTGAAAATAACATCCAATTCACAAGAAAACACAAAAAAATTTTTACGTGGAAAAACCTCTTCAATTAAAGAGCAAAAGACCACGGGAATCTAACGATCTACTTAAATCCAACATAATTAAAGAGTTTACAACAACACAATCCACCAAAATGTTCTACACAAATTTCTTATTTCTCCTTTTTTATTTTTTATTTTTTATTTTTTTTGCTTTTAACGTTTAATGTAAATTTTCATGACTTTGATCAGGCCTAGCTTAAGCTAAAGCCAATCAAAACTTAAATTAAGTCAACGTTGTCTTGACTTTTAATAATTAATAAAAAAAAAAAAAAAAAAAAAGGGAAATTTTCTTAGTATAAACATAGATAAAACTCAAACTTCTTATATAAGTCAATGTTGCCTTGATTAGTGAAAGCTTCAACAATTTCAGTCTTCAAAAGTTTTAAGAACAAATAACATAGAGAAAGTGAAAGAAAGAAAGAAGAGTAAAGAATTTTAGGAATAAATCATACAAAACAGTGGACGTAAAAAAAAGTGAAAAGAGTTTAACTTTTAATATGATGTAGGCCTGGATTATATATTTAATAACAGTTTTTTATGAGTCTGATATGTGTATAATATTTCTCTTTTTTTTTTTTAATCTGAAGGTAGCCCTGGATATATGTATATATAATAGATTTTTTTTACGGCTTAGATAAACAATTTTTTTTTTTTAAATGTGAGGGTAGGTCTGGGCCATCCTCCAAAGGGTTGGGTCCATCCCTAGATCCATGTTAGCTGATCCAGACACCCTTGATCATAAAATATATATAAGAGTTACGCATAGATGTAAACATGATGTGTCACTGTAGAATTTTAAATTTTGTAACGTAAATTCAGAAATTTAAAGTTAAACTAGACAATCACTGTACGTATTATTATTTATTGGATCAGGTGTAAAAGGAAAAAAAAATTATGAGAACTATAACACTGAACTGATACATATTATAATGATAAATGTTAACAAATTTATGTTTTATGTATATAGTCAATATTATATTTTTTAAAATATATATTTATATTGTGAAAGTCCAAATTTAATTTTATAAACATTATCCTGACAAGACGCCAAGTATATTTATGGACAAACAAAACGCTTCTCCTAGGACACCATTCTTATTGCTTATTGGACCCCAATCATATTCAATTTTGCAAAAAAATTTAATTTATGTTTTTGGATATTTTTGAGAAATAGATGCTTTGAATTTCCATTTTATAAAAAAACACAGATAATAAGATGATATAATTAAGCAAATTTGAAATAATATCTATTTGTATAAATACTATATATTATATCCTAAATTTGTATAAATCACAATGACATAATATTATATTAATTGTGGATTTCAAAGAATAAATTGATCAATATCATATCATTTTGTATATAAAATCAAAATTTAAACATCGATCATTTAAGATTATTCATTTATATATGACATTACTGATTATTCTTTTCTAAAATCATGTTCAATCCAATTATCAGGACCTTTTTTACTTCAAATTTAAATCATCTATTTTATCATAGAGTCTACATTTTTTAATCATATGAGACTTTGTCGTTTTTATAATTTTTTTTATTTAATAATTAAAAGGATGAGTATATCATTAGCACGTCTATCCAATAAGATTGAACCATTGATTACACATATTAGAAAATCAATTAAATAGTGCTTTATTAAGTAAAATAATATAAAAACTCATTAACACACTGTATAAATGATATAATTAGAATATTCCATATAAACTATCTTTCATAATCTTAATTCTCAAAATATCAAAGTTTTGTTTAATGGACAGATTTAACCTAAAAAATCAGATGACTTACTATTACCCTTATAAAAAATCAAGGACAAATAGCCAGGATACTTTAGATACCAAAGTCTAACACACATCTAGCATAGTTTAGTATACTTTAATTAGACTGTTAAGCCAAACAGTTGAATGTTAGATTCGATAGCCTCTATCGAACTAACATAATCTAGTGTTATATATATAAGAATATATCATTTTTTTATTTTATTAAGGTATAATTAGTAAATCACTAATTTACAGTTAGATCATCATTTGAATAAATTTTGTACATTTTGGTAAAATGTGATTATTGAGTTAACTATATTGTCCAAACCTTTATAATATATTCTCTGTTTTTTTATAAATGTCGTTTTGAGGGTATTAACTTTTTTCAAAATAAATGATGCTGTGTCTTTTCTCTTTCAATGTTTCTCTAACCCACATCTTTATTCTCTACTTTGCCCTTCATCTCCTCTCTCCACTTTTTTTCTATGGCCACGTCTCCTCTCTCTCTCTTTCTATCTCTTCCCCTCATCTCCTCTCTTCCACATTTTCCATCGCCCACGTCTCCTTTCTCTACTCTGCTCTAATCTCCTCTCCTCCACTTTCTTCTATGGCCAATCTCCTCTCTCTCTTTCTCTATCTCTTCGCTACTCCTCTCTCTCTCCTCCCTTTTCTATCACACACATCCCTTTCTCTCTTTCTCTACTAAGGTTGTAGAACCTGCAAAAAGGAAGGAAGCACCTTTCAATTAAAAGCATGTATGCTATGATCTCTTGTGTACTTTGTACTCCCCTCTTTTTTTTTTTTTTTTTTTTTTTTTTTTTTTTTTTTTTTTTTTTAAATAAAGTTGCATTTTTGTTTAGGTTATTGAGATTTTCAACAACCAAAGTGGCTGCCCTTGCTCAATTTGGTCAGACCTTGATGTTGCGACTCCGGCATTACTCAATCTAGCAGTCCGAAAAATGGTTGATGGTAGTATTTCTTCTTGCTTTGATAGCATTTAATTGTCTTGCCGCCACTGTTTTGTGCTTTGTTTGTTTATGAAGTAAATGTGTGCGACAAAAAAAAAAAAAAAAAATGTTTGGTTGGCTATGGTTGATGTTGTTGCGTTATTGTGTTATGCAAATTGAGGTTCGGTAAATCATCAGGCTGTAACCAGTGGAGTTATGAGTCATGAACTTTCGAATGAAGAATTAGAACAATGAGGATATGGGTGCCTTATCATGTAAGTGGCTTTTGTTTTTTAGTAAGGTTATTTATTCTTAAATTGATAAGGTACATTGTTGCATGACTCATTTGACTCTTTAATTTATGAATGATTAGTTTGAAGATATCATAGCATCAACAATGAAGCCAAATTAATTGACACTGAAGGCAGTACAACATTGCTCATCTAGAATGGTGGATTTCAATTGTGAGTTTATTTGATTTTTTCTTTGGTTGATGTCAATACACTTTTTTTTGCTTTCATCAATTCAGTTAATTAGTTACAATATTTTCTCTTATACAATACATGTTGCACAAAACAATGTAGAAGGTGCATCAAGACCGATTGTCAAAATTGAAATTTCTGGAGTTTGGAATAACCAAGAAAAATCAGCAATGGGCATTGTAATGCATGATACACGCTGTGGAAATTTGACTTTACTGGAACAGTATGTGTCAGCTTCTAACACACTACATGCAGAATATCTTGCCTTATATCATGGACTGTGTGTTGCTCGTGCAAATAGTGTTAAAGAAGTCCAATGTTTGTCCTACTCTCAATAACTAATTGACAGTCTTAATAGGAATGGTGATAAAAAATGTGTATTGGGTGATTTGCTTGATTCCTTTACATATGTTGAAGTCTATAAAGTGCCTGTTAGTGTGGATATGTTCGCTGATGTTATGGCTCGCATGGCCACTAGGAGATGATCGGGCCTTGTACTCCTTGGTGAGAGTGATTGTTGGGTGTTTCAGGTGTTTTAGTTTTTCTCAGTCGGTTGCTACTTTTTATTTGGGTTTTGGCTCAATTTTTGTGACTTTTGCCTATGTTTTGTTTTAGCCTATGATGCGAGGCCTTTGGTGTTGAGAATGGCATGTGGCTGCCTTAAGTTGCAGGTCATGGATTTGGTTACAAAACCTTCTTTGTTGGAGATTTCATTCTTGCCAGGAGGTGCTGCTTGTTTTCTCCTATCCTTAGGTGTGTGCTTGCAGGAGTTTTGCTATGGTGAGTCTTGGTTTTTCTGCTAGTTGGAGATTGAAGCTTTTGCTGGATTTCCTTGAGGGTGGCTGGAGTTTTGAGACTTTTTGGTTGCGGACCTTTATGTACAGACTATGCAATTTGCTTTGTGCCCAAATAGCCTGCTTTTTTTACTATTGGCCTTTTTTGTCTAGTATTTCTTAAACTAACTACATGTTTTGTTCGGACTTTAATCCTCCTTTTTTTTT